TGGAGTTGGTGGAGTCCCTGGAGCTGGCATTTCCCGTGAGCCTTAGTTCTATCTGGGGAACACGCCAGAGGGAGGGGTGGGGAACGCCTCTTCTATCTGGCTCTGTGTTGGTGCGGGCCGGGGGCGGGGGGGGGGCTGGATGGGGGCGGGGCATTATAGGCCCTGCCCCAAGGAGCTCCAAGCAAGGTTTCTGAGGGTCCCTATGTTTCCTCTTAGCAGCAGCCCAGGCAGCAGCTGCAGCCAAAGCTGCTAAGTACGGTGAGTGTCCCACCCCTGCCCACACTCCAGACCCTGCTGTCTGTGGGTCCCAGCTTAGAGCAGCTCCCCAGTGCAGGCATCCAGCAGCCAAGGGACCCGGGCGGGGTCACAAGTCTCCGGTCCCCGTCTCCTGTTTTCCAAAGCCACGCTCCACCGCTCTGCCCATGCAGTCATCCCATTAAGGTTGCTGGCACCTTGCTTCCCGCCCGAGCCCCAGCCCTGCTGTTCCTGCCCCCACCCCCAGCGCCCCCTAGAGGTGGAGGGGCATTGGGAGAGGCAGGACTGGACATGATTTACTGCCCCCCTCCAGGTGCTGCAGGAGCTGGAGCCCTGGGAGGGCTGGTGCCAGGCGCAGCAGGTGCAGTACCAGGGGTGCCGGGCGTCGGAGGCCTTCCAGGTGAGCTACAGCCCCAAAGTGGAGACCAGTGTGCTTCGTCTCCCAGAAGGGGCTCTAGAGTTTGACCCATTTCCCAGACAGGAAGACTGAGTCCAGAGATGGGGCACAGGGTGTACAGTCTCCCCTGGAGCGGAGGGCGGGCCCTCCGTGGGGACCTGCTGCCCGTCTCTGTCCTGGCGGGGGGGCTCCAAGGGTGAGCCTGTGGGAGCCCTGCACTGCCCAGTTTGGGGGGTGGGGGCGTTTCCTTTTCCCAAGGGTCCTTTCTGGTTTCTTACCAAGTGGAAGACCCATCACTCTTTGCTTCTCCACCTATCAGATGGCAAAGGGATGATGAAATTAAGTGACCGTGACACCCAGGGACACACTTGCTTGGTTTTTATGGTCCCCATCAGAAAAATTTCCTTCGGCATTCTTTCTTTCTGGAAGAAAATCCCCCCTTCCAAGCCTTGCCTCTGTTAGGATTCTTGAAATGACAGCATCCTAAGCACGAAGCTTCCCCATCCAATCCTTGGTTTTTATTCAAAAGTGGGGGGAGGGGAGGAGACAGACAGACAGAGACAGAGACAGAGGAATCTTCCATCCACTTATTAATTCCCCTAAATGCCTGCAACAGCCAGGACTGGGCCAGGCCAAACCAAGACCCCAGAACTAACTCCATCTGGGTCTCCCACGTAGGTAGCAGGAACCCAAGTACTTGAGCTGTCATTACTGCCTCCCAGGGTGTGCATTAGCAAAAATACTGCAATAGGAAGCAGAGGCTGGACTCGAACCCAGGCCCTCTGATGTGAGATGCATCACAAGCAGCATCTTAAACCACTGCTCTGATCACCTGCCCCTGGCTCCCCGGGGCTTCTAGACGGGTTTTAGGACGAGATCATCAAGTCCTCTCCAACCACAGCTTCCCGCCTGCCATAGCTCAGGGCTGGGATTTCACAGGCTCAGAGCTGCATCTGCACTGAGCCCAAGGAGGTGGCCAGGAGCCAGGCGGTGTCCCCCAGAGCTGGGCATGGAGCCCCCAGGCTGCCTGCCCCAGGCTCGCCTCCACACACCTCCTTCTTCCGCATGTGCCTGAGGAGGGACTTCCGGGAGGGGCCAGCTCCCTAAGGATGGCTTCTGGGAGGGCTTTCCACAGCACCCCCTTTCCTCTCCCCTCCAGGTGCTGGGACCCCGGCAGCTGCCGCCGCCGCCAAAGCAGCCGCCAAAGCTGCTCAGTTTGGTAAGTGATGCCCCACCCCCCAGTGCACCTGCTCCCAGCCCTGGTACCAGAGCACCATTTTCTGTGTCCCAGGCTCTGAGGTCTGCCACGTTCTGGGCGTGGGCCTTCCTTACCACTCTGGGGGCACATGTAGGGGTGTGACTGGGGGCGCTGTGGAGTGTGATTATGGTTACAGGGTGAGCGAGCCGGCGCCGTGGCTCAATAGGCTAATCCTCCACCTTGCGGCGCCGGCACACCGGGTTCTAGTCCCGGTTGGGGCGCCGGATATAATGTCCCGGCTGCCCCTCTTCCAGGCCAGCTCTCTGCTATGGC